ATTAGGCAAGAAAACGAAATAAGAGGCATCCAAATCAAAAAGGAAGAAGTAAAACTTTTACTATTTGCAGATATAAGAATCTACACAGGAAACCTTAAAGAATTCAAGCTCTACCAAAAAACTATCAGAACTAATAAACAACTTGGGTAAGGCTGCAGGGTGTAATATCAAAAGGCAAAAGTCCACTGCGTTTCTATACACGAATAGCAGGTTATCAGGAAGAGAAATTAAGAAAGCAATCCCATTTACTACTGCATCAGAGAGAATAAAATACCTGGGAATGAATCTAACCAAGGAGAGGAAAGACCTCTGCTGGGAAAACTGGAAGACACTGATGAAAGAAACTGAAGGAGCTGAAAAGAAATGGCAAGTTGCTTTCAAGTGCTCATGGATTGGAAGAATTAGTATTGTAAAATGCCCACACTACCCAGAGGGATCACACAGATTCAGTGCAATCCCTATCAAAATTCCAAAGACATTTTTCACAGAAATAGAACAATCCTAAAATTCGTATGCAACCACAAAAAAACCTTGAATGGCCAAAGTGATCTTGAGAAAGAAGAACAAAGCTGGAAGCATCATGCTGCCTGATTTCAAACTATATCAGAAAGCTACAGTAATTGGCCCTGGCTGGCGTAGCTCAGTGGATTGAGTGCGGGCTGCGAACCAGGCATCGCAGGTTCGATTCCCAGTCAGGGCACATGCCTGGGTCGCAGGCCATGGCCCCCAGCAACCACACATTGATGTTTTTCTCTCTCTCTCTGTCTGTCTCTCTCTCTGTCTCTCCTTCCCTTCCCTCTCTAAAAATAAATAAATAAAATCTTTAAAAAATTGCTTCTAAAAAAAAGCTACAGTAATTGAAACAGTATGTTGTTGGCATAAAAACAGACACTTGGGTCAATGGAACAGAATAGAGAGACATGCATATACGGTCAATTCATTTACAACAAAGGAGCCGGGAATATATAATAGGGAAAGGACAGTCTTTTTAATAAATGGTGGTGGGAAAACTGGGCAGCCACGTGCAAAATAATGAGACCAGACCACTGTCTCACACCATATATAACTCGAAATGGACTAAAAACTTGAATGTAAGACCTGAAACCATGACTTGACATCAGCCTTCGCGATGATTTCTTTAGGGATCTCTCACCAGAAGGAAAGGCCGTAGAAGCAAAAACAAATGGAACTCCCTAAAGCTGAAAAGTTTCTGCACAGTAAAGCGAACCATCAACAAAATGAAAGGGCAGCCTGCTGAATGGGAGGAAAGATTTGCAAATCATATCTATGATAAGGGGTTAATTTCCAAAATATTTAAAGAACTCACACAGCTCAACAGCAAAAAAGCAAACATTCTGATTATAAAAATGAGCAGGGGATCTGAACAGACATTTTCCTGAAAAACAGCCACAGATGGCCAACAGGTGCACGAAGAGATGCTCAGTACCACTAATCATCAGGGACACGCAAAGCCACAGTGAGATGTCACCCTGCACCTGCTGAAACGGCCATCAACAGACAGGCAGTGACAAGCACTGTGGGGGCCCTTGTGCCCTGTGTACGGGACTATGCATTGGTGCAGCCACTACGGGAAGACAGAATCCTATGGAGCTTCTTCAAAAAATTAAAAATAGAACTACCGTGCGGTCCAGCAATTCCACTTCTGGGTAGTTCTCCGAAGAGAATGAAAACACAACCTGAAAAATATATATGCACCCCTGTGTTCACTGCAGCATGATTTACCCTAGATACGCGAACAACCAGTGTCCACCAGTGGATGAGAGGATAAAGACACACACACACACACACACACACACACACACACACACACACAGAGGAATAGTATTCAGCCCTAAAAAAGAGAAAACCTTGCCATTCAAGACAACGTGCATGGAACTTGAGGGCATTATGCTAAGTGAAATAAGTCACACAGGGAAAGACAATTACCATGGGATATCATTTATATGTAGAATCTAAAAAAAAATTAAGCTCACAGATGCAGAGAACAGACTGGTGGTCACCAAAGGCAGGGGTTTAGGGGTGGGCGAAGCGGGTGAAAGGGGCCCAAAGGTACAAGCGTGGGGATGTGAGGTACAGCGCAGTCACTGCGTTGATAATGCTGTTCTGCATGTTTGGAGACCGAGAGAGTACATCTGAACAGTTCTCGTCGCACACGGAACGGTCTGTAAATGCACCCGGTGAGAGATGCTAACTAGGCTCATCATGGGGATCATTTTGCAACATATACAAATGTTGAATCATTATGGTGTACACCTGAAACTGATATAATGTCAATGACACCTCAATAAAAAGACACTGGTTGAGTCTCTGATTGATTCATGAGTTTGAGGGGGGCAGCCCCCCTGCCCTGTCCCCCGCAAGCAGCGTGGACTTTTAACTGAGAGTAAGAAACGGTCGCCATCCTGGGAGTCTCGCACACAAGCTCAAGTCCAAGCCAACCAGCTGCTCTGCACAGGAATGCAGGGTTTCATGGGTCTGAAGACCCGGCGAGAACAGATAACCCTTGGTTTTGTGGGGGGACTAAAAAGTTATATTTTCTAATGTCACAAAAAAATAAATTAATTTAAGAGGGATTTTGAATTTATTATAGTTTTCTTGTCATTTTCCTCAATCAAATAGCCATGACCAATGTAACTAATATTAGGTAGTGGTAGCTTTAAAATGTTTTCACTTTAAGCAGCAACTTAATGTAAAACTCAAATATGAGCTTCCCAGCTGCCAGAGCAAAGAGGGAAAGTATACATGGTACATAGCTCTTGTTAATTAATGACTGGGAGCATACCAGTTCCGAGTAAGAACGTTTTTCAGGATCCTCAGTTCTGAGAGTCAGGTTGGAATGGAGTTCCTTATACAGAGGGGCCTTCTGGACATAACAAATAAAACTCTCAGTGACAGTTTTACAAAAAGCAAGTGTTCTGTGTACAGAAATTTACAGTCGACGTTAGGTTCCCAGTCTTCACTGAGGGTATGGTAATTAAGCGGAGTCTGATGAAAGCAGCTCTTTGGGGAAACAGCTTTTTGGTGACTTGCGTAAGTTTCAGGGTAAGAGATCAATTTTGAAGACTGTTCCTGAGAGACGGTTCCTTTCCTCGCACCAGCTGTAAGGTTCCGAAGCCTTGGGCTTCACCTTCCCCCCACGAACCCCTAGACACTGCGGGATATGTGTTTCCTTCCAATCTGATGGATGCCCATCCCTTTGAACCCCCCCCAGCCTCGTTTCCATTTTGAAGAAGCCACAAGCGCCTCATTTTAACGACTCTGGGTGAACCTGTTTTCTGGGGTGCCAGCGTCCTGGCTGTCAGGTGAGGGGGGCTGATGTGAACTCTTTTAGGGTCCTCACTGCTCTTTGGCATCCAAAGCTACAGGGTCCCACACAGGCCTTTGGGCCAGAGGTTGTAAAGGGGGCCCGTGAGCCACCCTCAGCTCGCAGACATGTTTTGTTTGGCCCACGGTTAACACTGACTTTTGCCAACATTTTTGAAATCAGTCGATTTCAGCAAAAAGCCTGGAGTAAGAAATATCTGAAGGCTGGCCACCCTCAGCACCCACGGCTCTAGTTACAGTCAGTCCTCACTCACCGTCATCGATAGTAGGGTCTGCAACCTGCAGGGAAGTAACGCATCGTGAAACCAGTCTTACCACAGGCTAATGGATAGAAGCAAGAGTTGAGTTCTTGCGGCCTCTGACCAACGTTATAACGACAGGACAGTGAACAAAGGGGTGTTTTTCGAGGACCTGCTGTACCTGGACTGGAGGGGCAGGTGCCCCTCGCAGTCGGCACCCTCTGGTCCGCTGCAGCCCGCCCTCTCCCCACCCCCGCCGCCTTCTGCATCTACATCCAGGTCCCCACGGCCCCCTGCATGGTGGCCCTTGGCGAGCTGTGGCCCATGACTCTCTACAGAGACCCAGGGCCAACACAGCCCCGTGTTTGGGATCGAGGCCTTCCTGGTGCTCTCTGTAGGACCCACTTTCTGGGCGGCACTGGCGGTGGAGTGAGTCGGCGAGAAGTCTCACCTCACCAGCTCGATCCCCTCCCCGTGCTCACAGCCGCGCCCTGTCACGGAGGGAAGCCGCACGGCTCCAGCTGTGGCCGGAGCTGAGAGAGGCACTGGTCCTTTCCTCGTGTCACGCGCCCCCCAAAGGTACCTGGTCACCGGGACACACTTCCTGGGGTTGCAACACCCAAGCCGCAGTATCTGATTTCACAACGGCCTCGGCTCCTTTGCCAAGGTGGGAGTGCTTATTTATTTTTAATTAAAGCAGACCAAATTAATTGAGCTTGGAGGATTGTGCAATGGTGTCGGAGGTGAGTGATTGTAATTGTGCCCTTGCTTCGGGCAACCAGCCTCGGAGCTGAGTCTTCAGAACCCACCCGAGTGCCTTTGCCAAGGCACACAGACCTGGCTCGCTCTCATCCTTGGTGCCACAACACTGGGTAGGCGGTGCAGACAGCCAAGTGTGGACACACAGTAGGCCGCCATGTCGACTTCTGGGCCATTCCACAGGGGCCACACAGTCCCCACCTACGCCCCCTCCACCTCCACAACTGTCTCCTCAGGGCTCCCCAGCCCCACGTTCTTCTGGAACCTCCTTCCATGCTAATGGTCTCGAGTCACTACACCATCCCCGACGGCTTCAACGACGTCACTCACGGAGAACCCAGACTCGTGCAGGGGGCTCCTGGCCTCTCTCTGCGCTGTATTTCATATTTAAAGTAAATTCCCTTTAATTTTTTTTAACTCGGATTCCTTTGAAAAGGCCGCTTTCTACTACGACTATAGGCAAATCAGTCCGTATTTCTCTAACGCATATAGAAATAAACGCGCAACTTTTGAGATTTAAAAAAGTTGTCGGCGCACTACCCGGAGTCATCGAGGGTGGCGCTGCGGGACCGGCGCAACACCGGGAGAGACACTAGTCCCCGGCCACCGCGGCCACTGCCGAGCGCCGTCCACCCGCGGCCGCGCGGCGTCCCTCACCTGTGCGGTAGCCGGTGCTGTTGAGGTACACGGCGAAGGTGCGGCTCTCGTGCTGCGCCTGCCAGGAGGGCGAGGAGCAGTTCTCGTTGTTGGTGTAGGTGTTGTGGTTGTGCACGTACTTCCCGGTGAGGATGGAGGACCGCGAGGGGCAGCACATGGGCGTGGTCACGAAGGCGTTGATGAAGTGCGCCCCGCCCTGCTCCATGATGCGCCGGGTCTTGTTCATCACCTGCATGGAACCTGCAAGGGGAGGCGGAGGTGAGAGGCCGGCAGGCGGGCCCCACCTCGTGCGCCGCGGTGGGCGCGGAACAATTAGGCACGGGCGTGGTGCTGAGTGGCTCTCAACCGCTGGCACCTGCATTCGTGGGGAGGGGGATACGTTTTAGAAATCTCCCGGGACAGATAGGGGGGTACAACCGGCCTTCACGGGCAGCGGCCAGCAAGGCACTGGGGCATGGGCCTTCACCGCCAGGGACCATCCTGGGCCCCCAGCTGCGCCTGGCAGTTGTGGGGTGGAGGCGAAATCCTGTTTGTAAGTTCTCTGAGCCTAGAATGGAACTCTGTTTTATAAACAGAAGATCTTTTTTTGAAGAATATTAATATACATGGATATAAATATAACTATATATACATATATATTTTGGAAGCAACTATTATGTAAACCAAGGGAAGATTACGCTTTCTTTCCTTTGGAACCTGCCCAAGACTTGTTCGCTGTTTTCAAAATCTGGTCACGCCAGCCCCCCGGCCCACTTTCTCTGTGACCCCTTCTCAGCCGAAATGCCCGCAGCAGCCACGCACTGCACTCGCCCCCGTCCCCATGCTCCTCTGGCTGGGGAGCCCCTCCCCACCTGCCCCCAGATCTAACTGGTCTGTTGATCTGCACCTCATCTAGCTGCCCTCTGGGGCAGAAACCAGGGATCTCCCCGGTTTCTGACTCCCCGGAGCTCCTGTTCCATGCACAGCACATGTCATTAGGGCGTAATTGCACACCACCATGTACGGCGGGTTCCTTCATGCCGGGTCTTGTTTCTCCAGGAGGCTGCAGCAGGGTCGGGCACGTGGGAAGGAGAGGACATGAACGTGAGTGGATGCCCCGCCATGGGCAGGTGCTTCCCACGCACGTCTATGCCCCATGAGGGCGGGGACTGCGCCCTGCTCACTGTTCGCCCTCACTGCCCCTGTGGACTGTGGCAGACGGCAGGGGCTCAGTCAGTGTGTGATGAGCGGATGCACTACGGCTGGCACCCAAACACGCAGTGATAATGGAAATGGTGGAATTTCCCTTCCTTCTGTGGCCATCCTCAGCTCTCCCCCCTTTCCCTGCAGTCCCTGCGGTCCACCCTCTGAGGGGACGTCTGTGTTCGAAGCCCTGACATCTGTGACGGTGACCTGGTTTGGAAAAAGAGTCTTGTGAATACACTGAAGAATCTTGGGGTGAGATCTCTGTAGGTTACCCAGATGGGCCCTAAATCCAGTGACAAGCGTCCTTCTAGGAGACAGAAGGAGGAGATGCGTGGACGCAGAGGGAACGGCTGTGTGAGGACGGAGGCAGAGATCAGAGGGACACAGCTACAGGCCAAGGAGCGTCTGCAGCCCCCAGAGGCGGAAGGAGCGGGAAGCAGCGGGAAGGATCCCCCCTCGAGCCTTCGGAGGAGCCGAAGCCCTGCCCACTCCCTCACGTTGCCCCTCTGTCCCCGGGGCTGTGAGACAGTCAGCTTCTGCTGTTTGAAGCCAGCTGTTTGTGGCGATTTGTTCGGACGGCCACGGGAAGCAACACGACTTCCACCAGGCACTGGAGGCTCTTGTTGGGGAGCGGCAGACCCCGACCCCGAGAGTCCCCTGGCAACCCGGGGACATCTGTCCCTGGGGCCCAAGAATGAACAGGAGGTTTACGTAGCTCTTTATCCTGTCTTTCTGCCAAACACAGAGGGGACAGAGCTGGAGGTTCCCCGAGGAAAACGCAGATCCCATCTCTTCATGCCTAAAACCACCCCGTCGCTCCCCACCGCACTCACAAAAAGCACCCAATCCCCCCCGTGGCCTGGAAGACTCTCCAAGACCTTCCCTTCCCTGTCAACCTCTTCCCGTGTTCCTTTGACCTCATCTCCTTGCTCAGTGGGCTTACACTGGCCTCCTTGTTTCTTAAATGCTCCGAGCTCACCCCTGCCCCAGGACCTTTGCACTTGCTATTGCGGCTGCCTGGGGCTCTTTCTGAGATTTCACTTTGGCTGGTTTGGCCCATCATTCCGATCTCGATAATGAGAGGTTACCATCTCACCATATGAAGGAACCCCCACCCTGCTTTCTTCCTTTCACACAAGTGTACGATTCTTCTTAGTATTTGTCTCCTTCTGAAATGGCCTTCTGGACTGGTTTGCTTGTTTAGGATCTGCCTCTCCTTCTGGTCTGAGAGTTCTAGGTGATCCTGTGTTGTCTATATCCCCACCCCCAGGAATATGTAATAGATGCTTTGTGAAAAGCCGCTGAGAGGCTGAAGAAAACAGAGCAAAGCCTTCCAAGCCCAGCACAGAGATGGTTTTATACGGGACACCCTCCTGGAGCCCGCTGTGTTTCCTGAGCCCCTTGGCCAAGGCTGCTCCTGGTGGGTGGAGGAAAGACCAGGCTCTGTGTTTGAACAGGAATTGTCAGGCTCTGGGACTGTGTGAACATTTGCACCAAGGTCAAAGGCCCTCATAAGAAGTCCCCAAGGGTCCCGGCTTTCCACCGGGTGTGGTCTCCCTCAGGGGGGGGATGCAGGTGATGGGTGTTTCAAGGCTTCCCTCAACCAGCAGGTGCTACCTCGCCAGGACCTGACGGAGCGTGGCACGGTCTCGGGGTCCCTGTCTCGGTCTGGCAGAGCCCTGGGGCCTCATCAGCCTCAGGTTGCTCCCGGGGACCTGGCCCCTGGGGACCCCAGGCAGGCTTCTGCTGGCCAATCAGTTCCTGCCACCACAAACGAGATATCAAGGTCAAGGTCGTGCCCTTGAGGTCTCACGCTTGAATGCCAGACGCATTCCCACCTTACGGTGTTTGCCTGAGTGGTACCCTCCACCAGGGGGGTTCTCTCTCCTGGCCACCTTCAGGTTAGTGGCCAAACGTCAGACATCTCAGCGACACCTTCCCTGGCTGGGCATTGAAACTGCCCCACCCCCCAGCCCTCCCCGCTCCCTTTCCTGCCTCGCTTCTCCCCAGGGCAGCTGCTGCCCTAAGGCCCCCAAGTCACTTCTAGTTCACTTGTTTGCTTGCTGCCTGTCGCTTCCCCTGGAACAGCTCCTCGAGGGCAGGGGTTTAGGCCTCCTTTGTTCACTTTCATATTCCCGAGCCTAGGACAGTGCCCAGCACATAGTGGGGGCTTAACAGAGATCTGCTAAAATAACAAAAAAATTATTATACTCTTTGGGTTTCCAAATAACTCAGGAGCCCGAGTTGGTTTGTGCCTGGATGCAGGCAGGTGTGTATGTGTGTTCTATGCAGTGGATTTTAAAAACCTGACTTTAAGTGGCACTAAACAGATTATGTGTTCTCTAGTTGGCCACACTCCCCAGCATTCCTTACAGTCTCACACCAACTTCGCGCATCCACATTACCTGACCGGTCCCTGAAGGCCTTGGTGTTGCAACTCCTCTCCTCAGCACCCTCCATGGCTCCCACTCACTCAAGAACGAAGTCCCTGTGGTGGTCCGCAGGCTCTGCGGGATCTGGCCCCAGCACCCGGCCCGTTCCGCAGCCGGGCTCACTCCCACCTCAGAGCCTCTGCCCACGCTGTGCCCCTTCCCCAGGACTCCTTCCCCCAGCCCCCACGGCCTGGGCTCTCAACCCCCTCTTCATCTTCACTCCCAAGTTCTCTCCTCAGCGAGGCCTTCCCTGCCCACCACACCCACAATTTTACTCCCCTGTCCCGCCCGGGTAATTCATACCCTCTTCCTCGTTTTACACGCTCAGCTCTGACGCATCACCTCACGCACAATGCCCGTGTGCATTTTTACTTATCGCTCTTGCTTGTCATCCTGCCACCACCCCAGATGTCGGGCACACAAGAGCTGCCATTACCGACTGTGCCTCGCAGCTCCGCCCTGCAACAGTGCCTGGCATACAGTAGGTGCTCAATAAACACTCTGGGAAGAAATGAATCCAGGGCAGTCCAGGCAGAATCAACCCTCTGGTTGCTCTTCGCAAACGATGGAGACAGAGGAGGCAATGAGATCACCGCTCCTCTCGGTCTGCAGCGGCTGCAGAAAGGACAAAGGCGGCCACCCACCCACCCCGCCCGCTCCTCCTCCTGGACAGCAGGGAGGCCGCCACCTGGTGAATATTCACCGGCAGTCAGCAGCCCCGAATGCTGCGTTGGCAAAAAGCACACAGCCTGCCGAACTGTTCCTTATGTGTAACCTGTACAAAACTGGGGTCTCCAGGTGCTCACAGCTCCATCCCATAATTTCAGAGGAAGCGAGCGATCGGCTGCCCTTGACTGGCCGTCGCCGGTGCGTGCCTGCTCAGTGCACCCCCCCCCCCCCAGAAGCAGCCAGCGGAGGGAGAGCAGTGTCAGCCCACCATGAAAGCACAATCCCACCACGCCGTGAGGGAGATGACAGCGGCATCTGTGCGTATGCACCGCTGCATGTTAAGCTGCCCCTTGGGGACAGTGACCTGCTTTATTAAAACTGCCACAGCGACGAGGCTCTGGAAAGCCACATCTGGAACTCGAACACGTGAGAGCGAACCTGCTGGCCCGGCACAGCCTGAGTGCAGACAGCCGGCTCTGGTGGGAGGGAGCGACCTGAAAGCCAGGCCCACACAGAAATAAAGAGGCCGGGTTCTGCTCTTCTCAACAGAGCCGAGCCGGCCAACCAAAACTCCCCTCGTCCAACATAAACCTGGGACGGGCAGACGAAAACAGACGTGGTTTTTTCCGTGATCAAACCTTCCCGCCTCGCTGGGCCAGGGGTGCAGTCACGCCGACACCGCTCTGTGGCTCTAACAGGCCTGGGGAGCCCCACCCGCACCCCGTCACTGGCACTTAAGTTTCAGTGGCCAAACCGGTCACCTGCCAGGAACGTGGCGTTTCCCCCATGACACCCATTTGCCTTCCCCTCTACTTTGTGATTACCTTTTAGGGGCCTCTCTGCGCACCGCCTGTGCTATTATTTATTTGATATTTTGCTGTAAAGGACTTTAAAAAATAAACCTGAATCTCAACCTAAGTAGCTATGTGAAATTCTGGATGTGGTGGGCTAATG